AGATTGTTGCTACCTTTGCTTGTTATGATGCATTGCATTTGGTCTCTTGGGTCTGGAGCAAAAGTGGTGGCAACATCTGGAGATGCTGTAAGTAAGTAACCTGTGTTACTTTCTCCTGGTGCTGATATGACAGTGTTTTGCTAACGCGTGAGTTACCAGAGAGCATCGTGCTCTGACGGCTGTGCTGCTGTGCAGTGCCGGAGGCTCGCCTGGCTTGTGTCCAGAGATGATGGTCTGACTGACGTGGTCGAGCTCAGTGAAGTGAACTGGTTAAAGGTGTGGTGAGTGCTGGCAAGATGCTTCAGCTAACTCCATCAGGGAGTCTCTGGGAGCTCCTTTTCTTTCTAGTGTCATTTTTGTTGGTGGTATTTCACCGTGGTCCACAAAGTATGATTGTTCAGTCTGTGCTCTCATGTTTGGTTAAACAGGAAGGCTAACGGTGTATACTGGGTTGTATTAGGAAGAGTGTTGCCAGCAGGTTGAGAGAGGTTCTCCTCCCCCTCTACTCAGCCCTGGTGAGGCCCCACCTGGAGTATTGTGTCCATTCCTGTCTGGGCTCCCCAGGACAGGAAGGACATGGAACTCCTGGAGCGTGTCCAGCAAAGGGCAACCAAGATGATCAAAGGACTGGAGCATCTTTCAGTCTGACTTTCCTATGGGGAAAGGCTGAGGGAGCTGGGCCTGTTCAGCTTGGATAAAAGATGACTCAGAGGGGATCCCATTAAGGTTCATAAACATCTAAAGGGAGAGTGTCTGGAGGACGGGACCAGACTCTTCTCATTGGCACCCAACAATAGGACAAGAGGCAACGGGCACAAACTGCAGCATAGGAAGTTCCACCTGAACATAAGGAAGAACTTCTTTACTGTGAGGGTGACTGAGCACTGGGACAGGCTGCCCAGGGAGGTTGTGGAATCTCCCTCCCTGGAAGATACTCAGAAACTGTCTGGACAAAATCCTGGTTCATGTGCTGTAGGAGTCCCTGCTTGAGCAGGGTGGTTGGACTAGCTGACCTTCAGAGGTCCCTTCCAACCTCAGCCTTTCTGTGATGCTGTGCTCCTGCTCAGCCAACCCTTATGTAATCTTAAGGTGTATGCAACATCTTGTAGCATCTTTTTCTAGCTAAAGAGAGATGCCAGATCTGTAGGACAGCTGATGACTTGGGTGGAAAAGCAACAGTGGAAGTGTTAAAGAACTGGAGGTACAGTTGGCTGCTTAGAATAGAGGTGTTGGGAGGATCAAGGAATCGTATAAAGGCTGGAGTGTTTGATCTGAAGTCATGTTAAGTGTAGTGTCAGAAATGAGACATGCTTGCTCTGTAACAGAACATTCTTCATAGGCGGTTTAACAAGCTTTGGAATTAAATCTGGGAAAAAAAAAAGTGATGTAGCTGTTATGTCAAGGCTTTCACAAGCTTGCAGTGTGCAGTCTGGGCTGTGACTGGTGGAAAATCAGACCTGAACAGCCATGTAATCAGTGCTTTTACTAGGCAATTATGAGCTCACACTATACTCACACCACAGCTGCATATATATTTTCCAAAATACACTTTTGGAATTATACATGCGCTTTTTTAGTATGCTAATCGCCTCTGTGGTCATTCATTCCTGGAGTTAATGACTAGTCTCTTAGAGAAAACAAGTTAACAAACTGACAGCTGGTCATAACGAATCACTTACTGGGGAGGCCAACGTAAGTTTAACATCCACAATAAATCCTTCTTTTGCTTCTGATGGTTCAGTGGAGCAATGGCAAAGAAATGAGGCAATAACTTTATTTATCAAAGCAGGTCATGGCTGGTGTGGATTTGTGCATGAGAGGTC